TCTGTGCTCCACCTTCGACCGCGACTTTCATCCGCTCGCTTCGCCTGACCCTCTTGGCGCCACGATTTTCATGGATTGACGATTACGCCGTTATACCATTTTAGTTTCACCCCTTCTTCCGCCCGAAAACTTTTTCTCGTCGAACCGTGATTTTCTTCTCGCGATTTCGAGGAAATTTTAAAAATAAATATATTCCTTCTTTTCTATTTTTCGTCTCTTTGCTGGGTAGAAGACGATAAAAAAAGAAGAAAAGAAAGAAAGAAGAAAAGGATTCCAAAATCGTGGAAAAGGGAATTTTCAAGGATCGATGGAACTTTTATTATATCTCGATCTCGATGGAAGATTAGAGCTAATCCTTGCTTCGAGAGGTTTCGAAAATATTGGCGTTCAACGTCAAAATATTCTCGGTGTTCCGCATCATTCCTCGCCAAAGGTCCGTGAAATCAACGAAACGTCTCTATTCTGGCTCGTTAAATCGCATCTGGCCGCTTACTTTTTTTTTACGAAGCCGTTTTTCCGGAAACAATGTTGTGACGAGGGCCGTCGAAAAAGGGTAAAGAGGCAGAGAAGAAGGGGTGGGATTTGCCCGTTGAGATTTTTTTTGTCGATATTTAGTCGAGAGAGAGAGAGAGAGAGAGAGAGAGAGAAAGGAAGGAAAAGATTCAATGGACCTTTCGCGATCGCTACGCAGAACTACGACCACACTTGACGCATTATCCAAACACGCGATTTTTTTTTGTAGAGAATTTGATTCATTCTTACCCCCTTTTCTTCTCTCGACGTTATCTTTGGATTAAAAACGCACGGTTTATCAAACGTTGTTTGTCATAAAAAGAAAAAAAAAGAGGAAGAAAAAAATAGAATTTATTTATTGAATCAAATTTGAAAGCATCGAAACATTTGCGTGGAGATCGTGCTCGGTCGAGGATTTTCGGTAGCCGTGGACGGAGAGATCATATAAAGGGTTATTCAGCTTAAGGCTGCACGGATTAAATGTTAAAAAAAGAGAAGAGAGAAGAGAGAGAGAGAGAGAGAGAATCGCTGAAATACGGGGGCCTCCTTTTCAGGATCGGGCTTTTTGAAAATTTTAAACTCTCCCCGATCGTGGGGCCCCGAGGTTTTTCATCCACAGCCGGATCGACCTCTCCCCTCCAGCCTGCGCGAGTTTCGAGAACCACGAATAAAAGGGTTCAGCCGCTCTCTCTGAAAGCCGCTACGGATATTCGTGCATTGGGGTAGGAAAAGGGGGATCGGGGTCCGTAGATTTCTCGTATTTTTTAAGATTTGCTTCTTAAATCCTGTCACGTTCCTCTCGTATTCTTTCGTTTTCGATTATATACACAAGCCCCCACTCTCTTCCGAAACAGCTGACACTCGATCATATCGCTCTCTATTAATTTTTTCATACGCTTCGTACGCTAATTCTCGATCGAATTCTCTTTCTTCTCGAGTTTCTCGAGTAGAGGATGCACGATAAAAAATGAATTTCTTTCTTTCTTTCTTTCTTTCTTTCCTTTTTTTCTTTTATTTTCTTTTTCTTTTTTTTTTTTTTGCGAAAGACGCAGAGAGAAGACGATTACATTCGCGTGGAATGCACATCCAAGGCCAGGTTCCTTTCGACGGTAGCACCGCGGTTGTTTTGGCACGCTTCCTGCGACGCGGCCCGCATAATTGGTCGTCAACGAAATGTCCAACACCTTCCCGAATAGAATAGAATAAAGAAGGATCGATCGGATTTGGATTTTCTCGATTTGTTTAAACGCTCGTTTAATGCTCGATAGGAGGGAGGGAAGGAACCTTAACCTCGCTTAATTATATCCGCCTCCTCCTCTCGCGTAACACGCCGGCCGTAAATTCACGCGAATAAGAGTTTCCTCGACGAGGCTAGTCGAGAAGGTGCTCTAACGAGCTACACAAAACACGCAGCTGCGTTACATAATTACTGCAGCGGAGGATGGATTAACAGTCATAACCGAACGTTGCGCAACAATATGCATCAACGGCTATTCCCGATTCGGCTAAGCCGGATAATTAATTTAAGCGAAAAGTCCAGAGCGAAATGGAAATTTCGTAATTTGCCGGTCTTCTTCCAAAGACCTTGTTCGAGGCCTTCTTCCAATCCTCGAGAATGATCGAGAGCCTCGCATAAATTGGACCCCCATTGGATTTTAGATTCCACGGATTCGGATTTCAAGATCCGTGCCTTCTCCCCGATTCGATTCGAAGAGAAATGGTGGTTGGATATACAGATTCGGAAGCTTCGGTATATATACCTCGAGGAGAACATAATACCGAGGCATAATGGTTTAGCCTCTCTCCCTCGCAACCTTTACCATTTCGTCTGTTTTCTCGTCGTTCCTTTTTCTTTCGTTTCCCTCTTCTCTTCGTAACCCTTCTTCTCTTTCGCGTACACACGTGCGCATAAAACTCGGCTGGCGTACCTATCCCCACCAAGCACACGGCCGAAAGGGGGGAACCCCTAAGAGAAATATTCGACAATTTTTAAACTCGTTTCTGAACGCATTCAAACGTGCACAGTCGACAAGTAGGAATTTCTTGGAATCAACCGAGAGAGCCTTTTTGGTAGGGCACGCCGAACGTGGTTTCCGGCTGCCGGAGGTGGGGCCTCCGCCATATATTCTCCCCTTGGTTATATATTTCGCGGCTTCTATTCGCGAAATTCTGTGGAAGAGGAGTGCGTTGTTGTCATTCGAACGAACGCGTACCGTGGTACGCGTGTTGGAATCGTACGCGTAATGGTAAAGATTAATAATATTCAGATCGGACAGCTTTGATAAACATTGAAAAATGAATCCTGATGCGTAGCTAATTTTCTACGTGGAATATATATTTCGAAGAAGATACATAGAACGACACATGTCCGATTTGCGATTGCTCGAGAAGGAATCGAGAACGAAAATCGAACGAAAAAAAAAAAAAAAAATGATGCAACCTACCCTGCTATACTCGACTACCCTTTGCGTCGTGTGGTCCGCGTCCAACTCCGAATCGTGGTCAATCCTCGACGCGATTCGTGCGAGATCGCGCTTCTGTGTCGAGGATACAGATGCAAAAAAAGAGAGGAAAAAAAAAAAAAAAACGTAGTGAAGCAGCAGAGAAAGAGATGAATTCGTTTCTTTGTTAGAATTTTTCGTTGGATAGATTTCTACTTTTCACCGTAGATAAAGCGGTTGGTAAGAGTAGAGCGAGCTCTCTTCGTTGGCTTGCAGAACGCTTCCTTACCAACCTCGATCCTTCGTTAACGGCAGAGGCCGAGTACCGTCCATCTATCGACTGTCGAAAAGATGAGGGAATTATTTTATCAGGGGAAAATAAAAAAACTTTTCTTTTTTCTAAAAGAAAAAGGTTGGACAGCACGTTCGATTCCCCGTTTCATCGTTACGTAGGCTAAATCCCCCAAGAGTAATCCTCACCTCTTCTCTTTGGTTTCTGATTTCAGCATTATTGAGACAAAGCATGTCTCCGGTTGCGGACACCTTGATCGGTAGCTCGAAAAGCTCCGTGTCACAACCAATAATCGATTACTCCCGATACGTGAGGCGGTACACGTCGGGTCAAGAATGCGGTAGCTCGTATTGTAAGGAGCTCGGTTGCCGAGAGCATTTTCACTGTCTGGATTGCAGTGGTAGGGTCTTTGTGAAAAAGGAGGAAATGATCAGGCATTTCAAGTGGCACAAAAAGAGGGACGAATCTTTGCAGCACGGCTTCATGAGGTATTCGCCGACGGATGATTGCTCGGAGAGACATCCGGGCCGTGCCTGCCCCCACAATAGAAAACAGACGCACTACCACTGTATCCACGAGAATTGCGATAAAGTTTACATATCGACGTCGGACGTGCAGATGCACGCCAATTACCATCGCAAGGATTCGGCTATCATACAAGAGGGTTTCCAGAGATTTCGAGCTACCGAGAGCTGTGCTACCGATCACTGTCCCTTCGTTGGCCAGCGGACCACGCACTTCCATTGCCGGCGACCAGGTTGCCGGTTCACCTTCAAGAACAAGGCTGACATGGGTAAAGAACTACTCGCAGTTCTGCCTCTTAGAAATTATATAGTCTCCTCTCTTTCCTAGATTACTCGTTACATTATACTGTGTTACCGTGGTAGTATGTATATATACATATATTAGCGATTTCTGTTTGCTTGCCGATCATACATACACATCTCTGGCTAAATGTACACGAGACAGACTTAGACCTAGTTCTCTCTCTCCTTCCCCCCCCCAGTTAAGCAGGTTCGCCCCTAATTAGCCCCTTTCGTGATTTTCTTCTTACAGACAAGCACAAATCGTACCACATCAAAGACGAGCAATTGTCCCGCGATGGGTTCAAGAAATTCATGAAGTCCGAGGCATGCCCATTCGAGCAATGCCGTTTCTCGCGCGTGTGCAATCACATACACTGCATACGACCGCACTGTAGCTACGTTCTTCACTCGTCGGGCCAATTGTTCTCCCATAAACGAAAACACGAGCGCCACGAGACCGAGTTGGCCTACAGAAAGTACAAGCAGATCAACGCGGTTGGCGGTATCCGGCCGCCAGGCTCCTGGCCACCGGACGATCTCACCACGCAAAGCCTCTCCCTCAGCCTAAACGGCGAAAGTTCGAACGAGGACAGAGGCTCCCCCTCCTACTATTCCCTCGACGATTCGTTTCAGAGCGGTAGCGATCTAGCGATAGATCTCACCGCGCCTACGACCACGGTCACCACGGCCAGTGGAAGTTCCACGGTAACCGTGGACCAACAGCAACAGCAACAGAGTCAGCAACAGCTTACCGCCATGGAATTGGCGTATCTGGTGCCGGGTAACGCCGATTGCCCCTGCCACCTGGGCAGGGAGCATCATCATTGCGGATTGGACCGTTGCGGCGCACCTCTCAAGGATCCTCGCGAGGTCAGGGAGCATTTGAAGGAGCACGAGACCCAAGAGCGCATCACGGACGCCTTCTTCGAGGAGGGCGGATGCGACGACAGTTGCCCGTACGCCGACAAGGAGAAGCATTATCACTGCAACTGGGAGAATTGCCGAGAGGTGATCCTCTCCACGGACAAACCGTTCCGTAGGCTTCAACATTACAAGATCCACGAGTACAGCCGACAGTTGAACCTCTCCTGCTCCTCCCACGCCTTGTCCTCGGACGTGACGCTGACCCATCTGACCAACATCGACGCCATGTTCAGGCGGAAGAGGGGCAGGCCACCGAAG